TCAATTGATTTCCTATTTTAAGTATAAGGTCTTAAACAATATATATTTATTCCTGTTTCTTATTTTGTTGTTTTTAGTTTTTATTGTAGCTTGATTTGTTTACTTGCTTTATATATTCCTATGTTCATTTAATTATTTTAGCAATATCTGGCACAGGAATGTTATCCTAGATCAATGAAGTCCAATCTTATCTTATCATGATTCCCTGTATATTTATCTATTTGTCTATAATAATAATAATAATAATAATAATACTATTATTTTTATTTTAGTGTACCTTTTAAACACTGTTTTTGAGGGTTTAGTTTTTATTTAGCATTGATTTCTCTTAGCATTTTAGCTATTTTCTAAACAATTCTTTACTCATTTAATGAATAATTTTCAATGACGAATCATTGTAAGTGCTGGATGCTTTAGTTTATTTTTCAATATGTATTATTATTATTATTGGTTAATGTGAAATGGAAATAGGTGATTTATCAACGTGCGAGAACTGTGGTACAAAACATTGAGCTGTTCTTGAAGGGATTTTTTTAGGTAAAATGGGCAAAAGTGAGAAAAGTAAAGTGTATTGTTGTAAAGAGATGACAGCGATGCTCCACCACGTGTATAAGAGACATTGCAGATGAATCAACAGCAGGGTATGAGATCTCCAAAGTATGTCAGAGTCCACAGGAGATTATCTGATCATCCGGACAGGTTGGATGTTTTGTGGAGCGTGCAGACAGAACAGAAGAAGCAGCAGGGATTTTACAGCCTGACATCACGCAGGTTCCTCAAACTGATCCAGGATCTGCTGATTCACATCTGAAGGAGATCTGAACCAAAACGTCTCCGAGTGAAGATCTGCTGACGATCCAGAAACTGAGGATCTGAGGGAGGTTTCTCAGAGAAAATATCTGCAGTCAAGAAACTCTGCAACGGACCACAAGAACTTAGCAATCATAATATTTATCTATCAAGCCAAACGGATACGTTCATAGTCAATTAAGATAAGATATAATTGGACTTGGATTGGAGAAAATTATTCATTAAATGAGTAAAGAATTGTTTAGAAAATAGCTGCAATGCTAAGAGAAATCAATGCTAAATAAAAATTAAACCCTCAAAAACAGCGTTTAAAAGGTACACTAAAATAAAAATAATAGTATTAGTATTATAGACAAATAGATAAATAGATAAATAGACAGGGAATTTAGATGAGATACTGTAAAATGGGACTTCATTGATCTGGGATAAAATGATGGTGCTTTAAAAATGACATCAAAGCAAGAATTAAAAAAACGAGTAAAACGTTAAAATTAGTAGAAAATAAAGAAATAATAATAATAGCTGCAAGAGTAAGATACATTAGGTTAAATAAGTCAACTAAAACACTAAACAATAGCAAGGACACTAAAGGACACGGTTCACTTTATTAATCCCCGAGAAAAGTATTGTAACATCATCTTTTAAAAAAAACACGCAAAGATAGAAACAACAGAAAAATACATTAAAAATGGTAATAAATAAATAAAGCTGCCGGAGTAAGAAATAAATAAATAAACATAAGAAAATTTAACAAATGAAGAAATAGGGTTAGGAGTTAGGGTTAGGGTGTCAGTGTGTCCAGGTTTGGGGTTAGGAGTTAGGGTTAGTGTGTCAGTTTGTCCGGGTTATGGGTTAGTGTGTCAGTTTGTCCGGGTTATGGTTAGGGGTTAGGAGTTAGTGTGTCAGTTTGTCCAGGTTATGGTTAGGGGTTAGGAGTTAGTGTGTCAGTTTGTCCGGGTTATGGTTAGGAGTTAGTGTGTCAGTTTGTCCGGGTTATAGGTTAGGAGTTAGTGTGTCAGTTTGTCCAGGTTATGGTTAGGGGTTAGGAGTTAGTGTGTCAGTTTGTCCGGGTTATGGTTAGGAGTTAGGAGTTAGTGTGTCAGTTTGTCTGGGTTATGGTTAGGGGTTAGGAGTTAGTGTGTCAGTTTGTCCGGGTTATGGTTAGGAGTTAGTGTGTCAGTTTGTCCGGGTTATGGTTAGGGGTTAGGAGTTAGTGTGTCAGTTTGTCCGGGTTAGGGGTTAGGAGTTAGTGTGTCAGTTTGTCCGGGTTAGGAGTTAGTGTGTCAGTTTGTCCGGGTTATGGTTAGGTTGGGGAAGAGCGCAGGGCTCCTGGCTAGTGCACTGGCTCTCGGTAAATAGGTGTTTAAAAAAACATTAAAAACCTCTGCAAACATAAACCTTATAAAAACCCTTTTAAAAGCATTGTAAAAGCTCCGTAAGGACAAGACCGTTTCAAAAGAGTGGTTAAAAAGTGCAGAGCGGAGCCGGACCACGGAACGGCGGCAGAGTATGTTAAAAAGGCATAGGGTGTCAGTGTGTCTGGGTTAGGAGTTAGGGTTAGTGTGTCCGGGTTAGGGGTTAGGAGTTAGTGTGTCAGTTTGTCCGGGTTAGGGTTAGGAGTTAGGGTTAGTGTGTCCGGGTTAGGGGTTAGGAGTTAGGGTTAATGTGCCCGGGTTAGGAGTTAGGGTTAGGGTTAGTGTGTTAGGGTTAGGGTGTCAGTGTGTCCGGGTTAGGGGTTAGGAGTTAGTGTGTCCGGGTTTGGGGTTAGGAGTTAGTGTGCCAGTGTGTCCGGGTTAGGAGTTAGGGTTAATGTGCCCGGGTTAGGGTTAGGGTGTCCGGGTTAGGGGTTAGGAGTTAGGGTTAATGTGTCAGGGGCCTCATTTATAAAACGTTGAGGTTCCAGAAGTACAGAAAAATCAAATAACCTCAAATTAAATATCAATAAAAGATAGTGTCACGTTGCCTTATTGTCTGGGCTGAAAGGGAGGTAACAAAATATAATATATAATAACCGGGAGAAAAAGAGAAATATGTATTTTTCCATAAAGGTAAAGACAACACGTGTTTTTAAAAAGTAGACTGGATCCAGTTCAGCTGTAATTATTCAAATCTTCTGTGTGTGTGTGTGTGTGTGTGTGTGTGTGTGTGTGTGTGTGTGTGTGTGTGTGTGTGTGTGTGTGTGTGTGTGTGTGTGTGTGTGTGTGTGTGTGTGTGTGTGTGTGTGTGTGTGTGGTGTGTGTGTGTGTGTGTGTGTGTGTGTGTGTGTGTGGTGTGTGTGTGTGTGTGTGTGGTGTGTGTGTGTGTGTGTGTGTGTGTGTGTGTGTGTGTGTGTCTGTATTGGATGACAGGAATATATCAGAATCTATCCGAGGAATCATCTCCCCACCAAAAACCCTGTCCGCCTCCACACTACAGTCTTTATTTTTTGTTGTAAGGGGGTCAGTTCTCTGCAATTCCCAGCGTGTCAGCCTCTCATATCAGAGTGTCTCCCTCCGCAGAGCCAGACGATAGACATCTCATTACACGTTCATGCTGCTCACCGCCGTGAGACGTGGGGTTATACGTCCAGTGTGTGTGTGTGTGTGTGTGTGTGTGTGTGTGTGTGTGTGTGTGTGTGTGTGTGTGTGTGTGTGTGTGTATATGTGTGTGTATGTGTGTGTGTGTGTGTTGTGTGTGTGTGTGTGTGTGTGTGTGTGTTGTGTGTGTGTGTGTGTGTGTGTGTGTGTGTGTGTGTGTGTGTGTGTGTGTGTGTGTGTGTGTGTGTGTGTGTGTGTGTATCCACAGCATAACTTAAACACTAATTATAATTCTAAAGACAAACCCCTCCTTTGTCATTCTGTAGTTGTATCTGTGTTTTGATATTACATCCCTTTATAAACAGCAGAATGAATGAGCGGGACAGTGAAGGCGTCATTTTAAATCCCCGCCGAAACACTTCCTCGCCTCGAGGCTTATCCCGATTGGTATTGACACGGAAGTCTAATCAATATGAGTCGTTGTTCAGATAATCGGTGCATTATCTGAAACATGTGTCGCTCGCGTGGCTAACATCATGCCGCCAAAACATATTTATTATATTATTGATTTTTTAAATTTGTAAGCCACTCAATTAACCGGCTATGTGTGGCTGCTGCTGAGTTAAGCTACTTTGAAAAACTCAATAACATTTGTTATGTTGTCGGTAAAGAGTGTTCGCATGCTTGTGCTTATTATAAGTTGCATTGGACAATCTGCACGACTTATTACTAACCATAATTAATATGATAGTTTATCCACTTAATTTGCTTTGCCCAGAAAGAAGAATTAAGCTATTTATTATTTTATTTTTGTACTTTTTTGTGTTTACTCCCAGTCGTCCCCACATTAAAACCCTTGTAACTGCTTAGCGTTCAAACTCTCCTAATCGTCTTCAGTAAGAGTTAAATACTTTCTGAGGGGTTTTGTGTTTTTACGGTCTTAACAGTTTAGACCTTAAAAACACAAAACCCCTCAGAAAATCCCTTTAGTGTCGTATATAATGTCAATTATAGGTCGTCGACCTTCGAGACCCTTTTTACGGATTCTCCTCAAAACACCCTAAGGATCAGAGTGGGTTAGCACAGTGGGATTAAAGGTTAACGATTAAGTATCGGGGTGTAACAGAGTAAATCATCGTATGATATGATGTAGCTAGAAATAAGTCAAAACTTCTCCGGGAACTTTTTTCCTTACTCGTTGTTTTTGAGTAATTGTTTTCCAGTCGGTGATTACATGTCAGTGCAATAATGCAAAGTCTTAGTCGTGACATCCCTCTGTGACACATTGCGGATTTGTGGAGTGTAAGATTAGAGCTTTAAATCTCTGCTTCCCAATTCGACCGTGTCGAGGCGGGCGGGGCAATTCCTAGGTGTTGTCTGAACACCAGGATGGGATAAAAAGACACTTCAACATTTGGATCATCTGTCTCACACCGGAGAACTTGTAGACGTTGTTTATGCTCTCCTGGATGGACTCTCTCTCACCGGAGAACTTGTAGACGTTGTTTATGCTCTCCTGGATGGACTCTCTCTTACCGGAGAACTTGTAGACATTGTTTATGCTCTCCTTGATGGACTATCTCACCGGAGAACTTGTAGACGTTGTTTATGCTCTCCTGGATGGACTCTCTCTCACCTGATAACTTCTAGACGTTGTTTATGCTCTCCTTGATGGACTCTCTCTCACCGGATAACTTCTAGATGTTGTTTATGCTCTCCTTGATGGACTCTCTCTCACCTGATAACTTGTAGACGTTGTTTATGCTCTCCTGGATGCTCTGTCTCACACCGGAGATCTTTTAGACGTTCTTCCATCCATGATGAACTTCTGTATCCCAGACATGTACGAGATGCCCCACTCTGGGAACGGAGGTTTCGCGGTGCAGGGTGGAGGTTTCGGAGGGGGGGAACACTGCATGTTTCAAGGTGAAGGTCCTGGGTTCGGATACTGTGATTCCCAGCCTCTTCACCACCTCCAGCCGCCTTGCATGGAACAAACATGGCCGCCAAGCCAGCAGATTTCCTGTGCGTTCGCCAGCGGGCCTCCGGCGTTTAAGAACGAGTTTTGCAACCGGGACGTTCCTCTGAGTCACTTCCAACACCAGCAGCAGCCAGAGTTCTTCCCCGAGATCTCACCTGACTTCGCTCACCTGCAGTGGATGCAGGGAGAAAACAGGAGAGGTATGGCGTCCGGGGGATAGAGAGGATTTCATTTGGGGTTGAATTGTTTTGAAGGTCGTCTCTCAGGGTTGTGATTTGTAAGGGTTCGTTTGGGGGAATTAGAGAAGAAGCTTCCATTACATTTATTTATTTTGATATTTTTTGATTTCTTAATCTCTTAATTTCTTAATTTCTCAATTTCTAAAAATGTTATATTTAACTTTTTTCAATTTTTTATTATTATTTAATTTGTTTTATTGTAAAAAAAAATGCCACTTTCACAATAGAAAAGCAGATAACAACGATTTGTTGGGGTAGTAACGTTTAATTGCCTGATTGTTTGTGGTTTTCTATCAGGGTTGTAAACTTTGTTGTCGTATTTTTGGTAACTCTTCCATTCCATTACATCATTTACTTTTATATGTATTATTTATTTAGCATCTGTGTGTAGAAAGAGGCAGAAATCCCACTGGGTTTATTGGAAGCTCCAACCTCAATATGAGTGAAACACAGATACAGGGAAAAGCAGATAAATGTATTTTTGCAACATTATATAGAAAAACTGTGATTTGCCTATTCGGAAAAGCCATTTTTTTTTAAATGTTGTACACCTAAAAGTAAAGGAAACTGACCTCTGCAGGTGATATACTTACGAGAACGAAGATTTAAGATTGACTAGTTGCGGAAGAACCCGTTAACTCGCTTTTAATCCAAATGGAGTAACAATGAGTGCATTCAAGCATAGAATCAGAAATCAGAAATCCATAGTTCATTCTGCTGCGGGGAAAATGTAAAATAATAAAGAGGCAAGGATATGTTTTGATGGAAAATCAGATAAGTTCACAGCCATGGAAGAGATATAAGTAGCAGCATGTCTGACGTTAGCAGATAAAGGTAATGAGGTAGTGACATAACAGTGTGTAAAACGTATATAATGCACATAGTACTCTCAAAAATCCTACAAATACATCTTTTATAACTTTTAATAAGCCAAAGCTTTCCAATTTCTACGTACAGAAGTGAGAATGTGTTTATTGTTCTGTATGATTGGCCAATGTCCATTGGAAACAGGTTGGTTTTTAAGTACTCGGAAAGCTGGTTCCAGGAGACTTCATTGATTAATCGATCAATGAAGTCTCGGATTTGTTAATTATAATTAATAAGCGTAAATGCGTCATACGGCCGATCGGCTCTGGTGCTTCTGATGCTCAGAGTTAGTATTGATTGATAGTGAGGCAACAGAAGGCCGATTAATAAAACACCCGAATAAAAGGTATTGATCAGATTTGTTTAATATAAAGCACTGAGCTCATTAAGCCCAATCCCAATATTGGGCCAGGTGTTGAGGCACGATATTAACAAGCTATGTATGGAGGCTGTTGCTAGGCAGGAGTTAAGCTACTTTTAAAACTCCATGTTTCGATAATCAATCATCACATTTACACAAAGGAACATTTGATAAGCAGCATGTAGAGAATAGACAGAGCTTCTTAGATTTATCTTTGATATCCAATTTCAAATGGTAAAGAAGTAACAGAGTTGACATCGTTGCCATACCAATGTTAACAAAATATGTTGTGTATCCTCTTCAAATTGAAATGGTTTCTTTTAGCCAATGCTACACTTTTCCACCAACTTACGTGGATATCGGGCAAGTCGTTTTTCCTGCAGACAAACAAAGAGAAGAGCAAACTTCTATGTTGAGTAAATAATAACAAAAACTAGTAAAAGTAAAAACTCCATGCGTTGCCAAATGTACACAAAGGAACATTTGATATACAGTATTTAAAGTATAATAATAGCTACCTAGATCTGTTTTTGATTCTCTCTTGTTCAAACCTTTTCAAGTTTACTTTAAGAATCAACAACAAGCGTTGACATCCGCCTTTTCCTACCTCGCAATGGTGAAATAAGTTGAAATATTTTGTGCATCCTCCTCAAAATTAGGTGGTCTTTCTCTTGGGCCACTTTACCACCAATTTACATGATAATTGGTCGAGTAGTTTTTCCTGCAAACTGACAAAGAAACATTACCAGAAACCTCCTTATCGGAGTTATTTTGGTTCTGGTTCTTTGTTTACTTGCCTGCAGGAAAAACACCAATCATCATGTAAATTGGTGGAAAAGTGAAGCATGGGCAAAGAAAGAAACCATGTCAATTTGAAGAGGACACACAAAATATATTTAAATATTATTCACAATCGATGATAGGGCATGGCGTTGGCGGGAATTGTTGAAAGAATCTTATAGTTTATTGTGCCTTTTGTTGCAAGCAAAATAAAATATCTTGTGTATCCTCTTCAAAATGTGCTGGTTTATTTCTTGGTCCATGCTACACTTTTCCACCAATTTTCATTAAACCTGGGCGAGTAGTTCTTCCTGCAGACCAACAGACGAACCTATATACCCATAAATATAAATGAAAACGGTCTGGTTTTCTTTTTGGTCAACATCAAATAATATCCAGGATGAAATTACTACAAATCTAGGTATCTCTTTTACTCCCGAATAAAACAACATTATATCATCTTTTAGTGAGTTGTCGCTTTAATCCAAAGTGCACCAAATGTGAAAATCCTGCAAGTAAATTATACCGCTTTCAAAACTACTACTATTCTGTTATTCCATTATGTTTATTTATTGTGTTCCTTTCTGTTGTCTTCTTATTAAGTATTAAGGATGATATACCTTACTACTGCATTGGCTTCAAATAACCCAAACAGTGCTACTGAAGTGAGATTTATTTATCCATCAGCCAAAGTCAGTTATAAATGGTATTAACCATTCCTTCTTTTCTGCAGGGTATATTCCCAGTTACCTGGACAAGGATGAGCTCTGTGTCGTGTGTGGGGACAAAGCCACGGGTTATCACTATCGCTGCATCACCTGTGAAGGGTGCAAGGTAACAAGAGGACAGAGAGGGCAAAAGTACACACATCCTTTACTCAAGTAGAAGTACAGATATTCGTGTTTAGTAGAAGTACTGACTAAACTTCTTTACTCAAGTAGAAAGTAAAGAAGCTTTGAAATGTACTTCAGTAAAAAGTACCCATAACTAGCAGCTGTTTTAAAGAGTACCTGCCCTCCCTTTATATTAATAGAACAATAATGTCATTGTTAGCTAATGAATGTTTCCATGCTGAACAACGGCAACATGACAACGTTTCCATTGGTCCCTCTTCTTTAGAGAAGACCAGGAAATGATGGATACACGGATCGTGTTCAAATCAATAGGCACTCAATGACTCTAAAGAATAATGATCACGCATCAAACACACATTCAGACTAAAGGAACCAGCTGTTTGGAAAATGAGAGAAGTAGAAAGTACAAGTATTTGAGTTCAACATGTAAGAAGTAGAAAGTACAGGTATTTGAGTTCAACATGTAAGAAGTAGAAAGTACAGGTATTTGAGTTCAACATGTAAGAAGTAGAAAGTACAGGTATTTGAGTTCAACATGTAAGAAGTAGAAAGTACAGGTATTTGAGTTCAACATGTGAGAAGTAGAAAGTACAGGTATTTGAGTTCAACATGTAAGAAGTAGAAAGTACAGGTATTTGTGTTCAACATGTAAGAAGTAGAAAGTACAGGTATTTGTGTTCAACATGTAAGAAGTAGAAAGTACAGGTATTTGAGTTCAACATGTAAGAAGTAGAAAGTACAGGTATTTGGGTTCAACATGTAAGAAGTAGAAAGTACAGGTATTTGAGTTCAATATGTAAGAAGTAGAAAGTACAGGTATTTGGGTTCAACATGTAAGAAGTAGAAAGTACAGGTATTTGAGTTCAACATGTGAGAAGTAGAAAGTACAGGTATTTGAGTTCAATATGTAAGAAGTAGAAAGTACAGGTATTTGAGTTCAACATGTAGGAAGTAGAAAGTACAGGTATTTGTGTTCAACATGTGAGAAGTAGAAAGTACAGGTATTTGTGTTCAAAGTGTAAGAAGTAGAAAGTACAGGTATTTGGGTTCAACATGTGAGAAGTAGAAAGTACAGGTATTTGTGTTCAAAGTGTAAGAAGTAGAAAGTACAGGTATTTGAGTTCAACATGTAGGAAGTAGAAAGTACAGGTATTTGAGTTCAACATGTAAGAAGTAGAAAGTACAGGTATTTGTGTTCAACATGTAAGAAGTAGAAAGTACAGGTATTTGAGTTCAACATGTAAGAAGTCGAAAGTACAGGTATTTGAGTTCAACATGTAAGAAGTAGAAAGTACAGGTATTTGAGTTCAACATGTAAGAAGTAGAAAGTACAGGTATTTGAGTTCAACATGTAAGAAGTAGAAAGTACAGGTATTTGTGTTCAACATGTAAGAAGTAGAAAGTACAGGTATTTGAGTTCAACATGTAAGAAGTAGAAAGTACAGGTATTTGAGTTCAACATGTGAGAAGTAGAAAGTACAGGTATTTGGGTTCAACATGTAAGAAGTAGAAAGTACAGGTATTTGAGTTCAACATGTAAGAAGTAGAAAGTACAGGTATTTGAGTTCAACATGTAAGAAGTAGAAAGTACAGGTATTTGTGTTCAACATGTAAGAAGTAGAAAGTACAGGTATTTGTGTTCAACATGTAAGAAGTAGAAAGTACAGGTATTTGTGTTCAAAATGTAAGAAGTCAAAGTAAAAAGTTGTCAGAAAAATAAGTAGTGGAGTAAAGTACTGATACCAGAAAGATGTACTTAAGTACAGTAACGAAGTATTTGTACTGCACTACTTCCCACCTCTGCAAGTGGATGTTTGTAGCTTTATTTTCTGCTTTATATTTTTTAAGTTATTCTGAGTTTTATGCGTTGTGTCTGATCTCCAGGGATTCTTCAGGCGGACTATCCAGAAGAACTTGAACCCGACGTACGCCTGTAAATACGAGGGAAATTGCGTCATCGACAAAGTGACGAGGAACCAGTGCCAGGAATGTCGCTTCAAGAAGTGCATCGCGGTGGGAATGGCAACCGACTGTGAGTTTACAGACAAGAGGAATACAAAACTAGGGTTAGGGTTGGACAAAATTAGTTAGACAAAATGAGGGTTGGACACAAGGTTCAAGGTTCTTTATTTGTCATACGAACATAGCTACAGAGTAGTTATGTCGATGAAAATCTTAGGTCACAGGCTTCTCCAACAGTGCAACACAATAACACAGAAAAACAGAAAAATATAGTGCAAGTAAATATGAAAAAGTAAATACAAAAAGAAAAATAGTTTAAAAATAGTGAAATAAGAGTCTATATGCAAGCTATTGGAATGATATATTAGATAAATATATAAATAATTACTAAGTAGCAGATGAATGTTATGGATGTTGTTTCAACAGTTCAGGTGTTTAACAGTCTTATGGCCTGTGGGATGAAACTGTCCCTGAGTCTGGTGGTTTTAGTCCGGATGCTGCGGTAACGCCTGCCAGACGGCAGCAGACTGAACAGTTTGTGGCTGGGGTGACAGGGGTCTTTGATAATCCGGAGGGATTTCTTCCTGAGCCGCTGGGAGTAAAGGTCCTCCATGGATGGCAGCTCCGTCCTGGTGATGTTCTCTGCAGTTTTCACCACCCTCTGTAAAGCCTTAAGGTTGAGGGCGGTGCAGCTGCCGTACCAGAATGCTCTCTATGGTGCAGCTGCACAGTTAGGGTTGGACACAATTAGTTGTACAAAATTAGGGTTGGACCAAATTAGAGTTAATACAAATTAGAGTTGGACCAAATTAGGGTTAGACAACATTAGGGTTGGACAGAATTAGGGTTGGACAAAATTAGGGTTAGACAAAATTATGGTTGGACAAAATTAGGGTTGGACAAAATTAGGGTTGGACACAATTAGGGTTAGACACAATTAGGGTTAGACACAATTAGGGTTAGACACAATTAGGGTTAGACACAATTAGGGTTAGACAAAATTAAGGTTGGACAAAATTAAGGTTGGACAAATTTAGTGTTGGACAAAATTAGGGTTAGACAAAATTAGGGTTGGACAAAATTAGGGTTAGACACAATTAGGGTTAGACAACATTAGGGTTGGACAAAATTAGGGTTGGACAAAATTAGGGTTAGACAAAATTAGGGTTGGACAAAATTAGGGTTAGACACAATTAGGGTTAGACAAAATTAAGGTTGGACAAAATTAAGGTTGGACAAATTTAGTGTTGGACAAAATTAGGGTTAGACAACATTAGAGTTAATACAAATTAGAGTTGTACGAAATTAGAGTTAGATAGAATTAGGGTTGGACAAAATTAGGGTTAGACAAAATTAAGGTTGGACAAAATTAGTGTTGGACAAAATTAGGGTTAGACAAAATTAGGGTTGGACAAAAATTAGGGTTGGACAAAAATTAGGATTTGGGTTAAGTTGAGATGCATTACAATGAACGAAGGTATACATTTATTCCACATCAAGTCTTTTTTTAATACTTTTGGAACAACCTCTACTAGCTGCTTTCTCTTCCTCCACATTCACTATGTCACCGCATCGTTTTTCGCATACTTTATTAAAGACGTATAATGACAAAGAACAATGCAAAATGTAGAATATAAAATGTTCATTTTGCATAGATTAGATTAAGAGAAACCTGTTTCAACTGTCCATAAAAATCAAAAAAATAAATGTGTACGTAGCAATATTTGCGCTTATGAAGTTCAAGCAAATGCACTAGCACTTAAATTGAAAATTGCTTAATTGAAGCTAACATGCTTGTAGGATCCTTTTCTTTCTGATTTTGCACCCTAATAGCTGATTACACTTACTGTTAGCCCGCTAAGTTAAATGGGAAGGTTTAGGAAAATGCATTCACTCATTCATACATTACATTTAAATTCAATGTCGGATGTAGACTCGTACAGTTAGAATGAAAAGTAGAATTGACATAAAAGAAAGGCATTAGGTGTTAAAATGTGTTGCTAATTAAAGACATTTTTGGATATTTGTGGAATAACCTCTTCTAGCTGCTTCCTCCTCTTCCTCTTCCTCCCTCCTCAGTGGTGTTGAACGACAGCAAGAGGCTGGCGAAGAGGAAACTGATCGAGGAAAACCGGCAACGCCGTCGGAAAGAAGAGCTCCAGAAGACGGTGTGGGATCGCCAGGAACCGACGCAGGAGGAGTGGGATCTGATCCGAATGGTGACGGACGCCCACATGACCACAAACGCACAAGGAAACCAATGGAAACAGAAGCGGAAATTCCTGGTGAGACATCAAAAATGCCTCTGTCGCTTCGCCAAAAACAGCCACAAAAAAAACCTCACAAACCGTCCTGTTTCCCCACCACCTCCTCCACTGTTTCCCTGTGTTAATATGTCCATGTGTTTTTTGTATCCCCTTGTAGAGTGGGGAGAGTTAGCGGGACGATGGAGCACAAGTGTGTTCCTCAACACAATAATGGAACATATTACTTTCGTCTTTTTTATGCAATGATAATACTATCGCTCATATTAATAACCTTGCTTTTTTTGTGCTGTTTTTCATTTTTCTCTCTCTCTGTGTTTGTCGCTTTCACACCTCACTCTTTATTTCATTTTTTTGACTAATTTTGTTGTGAAAACTAATCGCTTTGTCCAGATTTATTTAACGTTTTCCACTGTTAACTTTTGGGTTTCTGTGGCACGGTCAGAACAAAACACTTCAGTTGAAACGTTTTTTTTAACCGCCATTAAAGCGATTTACGAAAAATGTTGAAATTAGCGACATAAAATGTTGTAAAGTTTTCCAAGAAAGTCCCTTTAACATGCGTCACTTAACACGAATAATACGTTTTCTATTATTAAGGAATCTATTCACTATTTTTGCAATTGTATCTTGCCGTTTCCTACCAAAAAGCTGGTTAGGGTTCACCCTAACTTACGTTGTGGAAATACATGAGAATTCATTGATTAAAGTCGTACAAATGTCCCGTTACGCCTATTGGATATTATTTAAATATTCATCTGTTATTTATAACACAGATCTAACATTTTCTGCGTCGTCAAGTGTGAGAAAGCACTAAAATAAATGTTTCTAACGGGTGTTAAAGCGAAAGACCATTTTTACCGCATATGAAATAAGTGACTTAAAATGTTGTCAAATTTTTCGGGAAAGTCACTTTAACATTTGTGACATTACAGTTCTCTAATACGAAGGAATCTATTCACAATATTTGCATATAATTCCAAATGATACCGTAAATGTGCTTTTACGTCGTTGAAAAACATGAGAACTTATTGATTAAATTCATGCAAATGTCCCGTCACGCCTATCGGATATTATTTAAATATTCGTCTGTCATTTATGACAAAAATCGAACATTTCCGAGTCGTCAAATGTGTAAAAACTAAAAATATCATACAAATATTTGGGTACCACTTTACAATAAGACCACCCTTACAACGGGTTTACGAATAGTTTGTTATTCATTTATTAATTAGGTTGTGAACACTTTATAAATCATTAATAAGCTTTTATAAGACATGAGATAAACAGGGCAACTGTGACCAGTTGCTTGCCAAATAGTGAGCCCACATGTATCTGTACTGCTAAGCCTTATATTGGCTACCTAGCTTACTTCGTCTCCTTCATCAGCCAGCATCCTTGGTATCTGTTGCTCACTGAGTTGATTCTCGCTAAGTAGCCAATATAAGGCTTAGTCATCTTGCCAAATAGTGAGCCTGTGTAAAAATAGTTAAGCGATGTTTATGTATTGTAATATATGGTTGTGCAAAAGGAGGTATCATTAAAGGTGGGGTATGTATGTATGAAAACTATGTTCACTTTAAGATGTGTCACTTTACAATTCACTATATTTGCGATTGTTTAAGTCATGCTAATGTCCCGTCACGCCTATCAGACATTATTTAAAAATGCGTCTGTTATTCACGACAGAAATCAAACAGTTTCGATCGAAGTCCTGAGTCTGAATCTTGCCACAGAAACCAATCTTGAATTTCTCTGCTCACCTGTTCTCTACCTGCTCACTCTCTCATCTCTCTTCAGTTTAACATATTTACTTTGTAGTCGGCTTGACGCAGGTTCTTCATTGAAATTTCACAATTCCTGTTGATTATCCAACAGGTCGACGAAGCAATGCTTCTTAATGAAATAACATGTAATTTATTCTATACTTCTGACCAGAGTGCTGCAGGGGTGAAGGAAGATAAGGTACGGAAACTAAAATGTTAATTCTCATTTACATGCATTGAATTACAAGCTACATGTCTAGCAATGCATCCCTACGACATATAGACCGTGCAAAACCAACTAAATCAAAAGTAAATACTTCACACTTAACCTCAAATCTCTTGACACATAATGCTAAGATAACCATTTCCTCGTGCTTTTTGATTTACCGCTCTGCTCTTTGCTTTTCAGCCTGAGGATATTGGTCAAGCGTCGATGGTCAATACGCCGGAAGAAAACAAAGTGGATATAGAAGCCTTCAGTCAGTTTACAAAAATTATCACCCCTGCCATAACCCGAGTGGTGGACTTTGCCAAAAAACTGCCTATGTTTTGTGATGTAAGTGTGAAAAGGAGAGGATAAAGCATTCTCTGTTCGAACTGTCTCTAATTAAACATATCATTAGTTCCACATTGCACAATTATATTTAGGAAACACATTGTTTATTAGAACTTAAAAAGTTGTGGATTTATGTTTTGCAAGTTGCATAAAACAGCTTGACTGAGACAAATTGCAATTAGGGCTTCGGCTTACTCCTTAATGAATCTTTTATAGATTTACTGGTAATTTTGAGTCTGAAAAATGTCAATCCAAAACGTATAGATTATCACTTTCATGTCATATAAAATAGAACATCTCCATATTTCAGAGGCCAAAAAACTGCATTTCAACATTTTTCCATGAAAGATTACTTTACATTTTCCATTTCTTTATCCTTTTTTCACATTTTCCCATGTTGAATTATAACCCAAAATACTCTCCTAATAAAACAGAGTGAATGTGGGCTATAGCAGAAGCTAACAGTATTTGCCATCTGACTTTTACGCTTGATTTTACACTTAAAATATGAATTTATTGGGAATTAAATGTCCAAAAAAAAATTCTGTCCACTCTATTAGGTTAACTTTTAATGTCTTGATAAAACATTGTTTATCATGTTAACGTATAGCTAATGCTCATGGTTAGCCCTTTGGTTAGTTAGCAGTGTAATTGTATATAACATTAAAAGGTACCACTTTACAATAAGACTACCCTTATAAAGGATTCATAAAGAGTTTATAATTAGGTTATGAATTAGTTTGTAAACACTTTATTAATCATTAAGAACCATTTATAAACCAGTTCTAACATAGTTTTCATACATCAACACAGGCTCACTATTTGGCAAGATGACTAAGCCTTATATTGGCTACTTGGCGAGAATCAACTCAGTGAGCAACAGATACCAAGGATGCTGGCTGATGAAGAGGATGAAGTAAGCTAAGTAGCCAATATCAGGCTTAGCGGTACAGATAAATGTGGGCTCACTATTTGGCAAGATGACTAAGCCTTATATTTAGTATATATTTATACTTAGCTTACTTCGTCTTCTTCATCAGCCAGCATCCTTGGTATCTGTTGTTCACTGAGTTGATTCTCCCCCATCCAGTGGCGGCGCCAGGGTATGGCTGGGGTAGGCTACAGCCATACCAAGAGATGCCCCACCTCAGCCCCACCATGAACAATGATGTTAAAGTAAGCATGTTGAGAACACGGCTTGTGAAAATGTACGCGTCGTGTCCACAACACTCAAACTGATCCTGCTGTAACAACAAGTGCACGTTACTGATACATTATGGTTGAGACCATTCGGGCTTATGCTAGAAGAGGGGTGCAAGGAATAGTCCAAGTAGTGGGGGAGTTCTATTCACTAAAGGTGTGGAAATTCTCTGGTGTTATAATATCAGCGCGGCCGCGGTCAGATCAAAATGCCCCCGAATGCAATTTGAATAGACCTACAGCCAATCAGAGCAACGAAACATTGGGTCTGCGTCATGCCTTACTGATGAGATCAGTGGAACCGCCATTCAGTATCCCCATTGGATCTTCAACGTGTACTATCATACGTCACGTTCACAGGGATCCCTTTTTATTTACTACAAGACAAATGTGCCGTTTTATTTCATACAGTTACATTCTGATTGAGACAGGGAAACAATCTAAACCTCACGCGTGGCGTTTCACTGTCAAGGGGGCGATATAGCGTGTATGTAATTGCATTGCAAATACTGACTTGAGCCCCACCACTGTATGGGTTAGCCCTACCATAGACTACCCGACAAAAATACTCTGGCGCCGCCACTGCCCCCATCCATCTTGATGTTGATGTTTCGCCAGAGAGCTTCAGGGGAGGCGCAGCGTCGGAAAAAAATAACGAGAATCAGTGAAATCTAGCTAGTTAACTTCAGCTAACTTTATGCGAGCGGCAACATGGATACATTTTTAGTGAAGTTACCTAAAGTGAGAGAGGAGACAGCGTCTGGCAGAAAACGTCACTTGCACACTTTTGGCTGTCTGTGGAGACCGAGTTCCCTCACCTCGCCAAAAAGTGCTCATTCCCTTCCCCTCCGCCTACCTGTGTGAGTGCGGGTTTTCCGCATTGACTTTGATCAAAAGCAAGTACCGGTAAAGGCTGCAGCCAGAGGATGATCTGCGTTTATTCCTGTGCGCATCAAAGACGCAGACTCATTGTTCCCACTAAAGTAGGGCTGAGTGTAATAAGGAGGCAACGTTGTCGTTCAGTGTGTTGCCGGAAGCATATAAGGATTTATCCACGATGTTGAAAATGTTAAAAATGTTTAAAAAATATGTTTAAAACATAAAGATAAAAAGGTATTGTTTCATATTTTAAGGAGGTGACGCTACTCAACCAATGAAATGGGTGCAGTCAGTGAGTCAGCACGACAGATTCAAACACAGAGACGAGACGAGAGAGACAGTCGGAGTCGTTTCAAATGGCGTGCTCAAAGAAGAGAAAGGTAGACAGCGAAAACAGAGCATTTAATGAAGTGTTCTCTTACTGGACCTCTTTGAAATGCAATTGAATACCCCTGCATTATAGCAACAACAACAATAATAATAATAATAGCAATAATAATTGGGAGGGGGGGCGCGGCTGTTCTTATGTTCTCTGAGGGGAGGCTCACCTTCCCACACTTTGAAAACCCCTGCTCTAGTGAGTGGCCCAGCCCTTCGTAGGTTTTTCTGGCACCCCTGCTTTAAAGGAAATAGCTTCGCGGATCTGAAATGGAAGACGATTCCAAAGAAGAATGAAATGAATGAAAAGGCTCTGTGATCCGTTAACACTAATTTTCTTCCCCGTACTTCCAGCTGCCTTGTGAAGACCAGATCAAACTGCTGAAAGGCTGCTGCATGGAGATCATGTCTCTGCGAGCGGCCGTACGATACGACCCAGAGAGTGAAACCCTGACGCTCAACGGAGAGATGGCCGTCACGCGAGGACAGCTTAAAAACGGAGGCCTGGGCGTGGTTTCGGATGCCATCTTTGACCTTGGCGTGTCGTTGTCGTCCTTTAACTTGGACGACTCCGAGGTGGCTCTTCTTCAGGCCGTTATCCTGCTTTCATCTGGTGAGTAATCTTGTTGTCCGGACTCACACTCCACCTGCAAACAAGCCTTATCTTTAGCCCATTAGGCTTTTATTTTGAGCTTACTTAACATTAAAGGGGCATTTCGGGGCGTCTTTAGGTCGTGTTGCGTGAGGTATTTAAAGATGACAGCTTAGTTGTGGAAAAAGCACCAGCTTTTATTTTGAGCTTACTTAACATTAAAGGGGCATTTCGGGGCGTCTTTAGGTCGTGTTACGTGAGGTATTTAAAGATGACAGCTTAGTTGTGGAAAAAGCACAAGCAAAACACTTAGAAGAGTTTACAAACGCTTCACCTGGCTTACAGACAGCCCTTTCTCACAGGGAACTGGTATATTGCTTTGGCCAAATCTACCAGACTCCCCTTAACAAAAACGGTCATTTTACCTTTTGAAAAACATGGGGATTTCTGGCCTCCCGCTGCATCAATCTGTTTGATTTGTTGTGATATTTTTGGGACTTTAATGAATTTGACTAACCATTTAAAACCCCAAATCACACAATAACTACTGGCAGTTGTAGTCGTAGACCAGCAACTCCTTAATTCAGCTAGACAAATCACAGTTGTTTTTAATGGTCTTTAAATAAAGCATGAATATCTTCAGCTCCCGTCCACAAGCCAAAATGGTTAAAATGTTCTAAATATAGCAAACACTCAAACTGACATTCATTTTTAAGATGGATTAATTCCTTTTTAGGTTAGCTTCCTGTCCGTAGTACTACTGTAATGCTGTAATATGGATAGTTTAACGCTGAACCTGGCTTTCAGACAGCCCTTTCTCACTGGGAGCTTTTAAATTGCTTTTGCGAAATCTACCAGACTCCCCTTAACAAAAACAGTAATTTTACCTTTGGCAGAATAGGGGAATTTCTGGTCTCAACCTGTTAGGTATTGGGTGTTAGTTTTGTAACTTAAAGGTGGGGTAGGTAATTTTGGAGAAACCAGCTCGAGTGCGCTAGAATTAAAAAATACACAGCCGGAACAAATCTGCCACTTCCTCACAGAGCCCCTCCTCCAACACACACGAACGCGCACATGACCAATGAGGGCACGAGATAAGTTTTTATGGATTTTTTGTCAAAGCACTTCAGATATTCATTGCTATCGGGATGTTAAGAGCATTCCATGGAATATAACAAAAAGTGTATCTCGAGCCGGTTTCTCAAACTTACCTACCCCACCTTTAAAGTGGTTAAAATGTTCTAAATATAGCTTAAACTGATATTGATTTTTAAGATGGATTCATTTATTTTTAGCTTAGCTTCCTGTCCGTACTACTGTAATGCTGTAATGTGGATAAGTAGCTCATACAACCCCACTTCTAAACATCCAAACTATCACTTTAACTTATTCTTTAATTGACGTCCAGACATTTTCAAGAGCAATCCCATTCGTAGAGTGAAAACGGTGCATTTTAAAGAGAATTAAAGTCATTTAAACAAGGATTTCCCACACAAAAACGTAAAATAATCACGAGGGTCATTTGTGAATACAATATTTTCTTGACATGAAATCCATACCAAACTGCAGTGAAATCAATGATTCACCGTCACCATTGTGAGGAGCTTCGTGCAGCTGTTGCTCTGCATCTGATTCAAGATCAATAATGTTCTGCTGTGTGCCGAAAACATGGAGACGTGCAGGGACCCGGGAAGGGGGGGTGCTGAGGGGGCTGCAGCACCCCCATCTCTGACTGACTTCCCTGGAGACGTGACCCGCCCATCTGTCAATCAATACCCCAATAACATAGGGTTCAGGGTCCTTTAGTGCCAAACCATTAAGTAACCAGTAAAATAATGTCAAATCAATTCTAAAAGACACTGGCAGCCAATGTGGTGCAGCTCAAACAGAAGAAATGTGCTCTCTTTTTCGTTTTTTTGTTAAAATACCTCGACCCAGGCCAAAATACAGAAAATCAATAATATGAAGCTTAGCGCAAGTTCAATGAGGAAGACCAATCCTCTGGTGTTACACGTCATTTCAATACTCTCTCCTCTCCCGATAAGTGATCGGGGGCGTTACTCCCCGGCTAGCCAATCATCGCACCCGCTAACCTCTTTAAATCTGCTCTCCCCTCCCTG